AAGGCCAGTGTAGCCCACCTGCCACTGGGACACAAACTTCAATACAAGAGCATTCAGTTTTTGCCCAGAATAAAGAGTAATATCACAAACTAACCACCGCCTAACACCAGTTTTAATTCAGTTTTTATGTAATTAAATGAATATAAATATGTAACTGCACATACTTGTAAGTAATTTCAAACTGCGGCCCAGCTGCAGTTCCTTTGTGGCCCAAAAAGTCACTCTGAGGAGGTCTTTAGGTCACTGCTTGCTTTTTAAGAACAACATATACCTGAAACCTAAGGAGAACGTTCAGAATGGAGGGTATTACACAAAGCTTAGGTCGGTCCAGCTTTGAGTCAGTGCTTTTATAGTTTGTGCCTTAATGTTGTTGCTCAGCTGATAAATATCTTTAGTTTTAAAATATGCCACAGTGACATGATGTTGGGTTACTTGTGACATAGTTTACAGTGAAACACTAGTTGCCCCCGAGTGGTACCTCTTGCAGAATTAGAATAAATTACCGTATATGTATAATGTGTTTTCTCTCCTGCAGAGTGTCCTCGGGAAGATGAATGAGATCGCTAAACACAAGGCAGCGATTGAAGACGCTGAAACACAAAACAAGGTTAGTAACCCCTGACCACCTTCAGTATCAAATAAAGGCTGCAATAATTGCAGATCTGTTTCTTTACAACTTCCAGGCTCAAACTGACCACATGTTGAGGCTGTTTCAGTAAATGTTTCTTCCGGACAGACATTTGTAATCATTAGAGCTGAAATGTTTTCATCAGTGTCAAGGTTCTCGTTCCAATAAACTTCTAGTGTATATTTACAAAAGTCTGGTAGAAAGTGGGAAGAATATTGTTTATACAGTTTCAGTTTAATGCTGATATTTCAAACTGCCAACATTCATAACCTCTGAGAGCCAAACCAAAGTGTAATCGAATAGTTTGTTTTTAGTTTGTTTTGTTTCTAAATAATGAATCAATTCAGGTTTTCACATCAGATCTAACAGATTTCATGCATTCACGTGTTGTATATGTAATTGACCAGCAGAGGGCAGGCTATACTAATTATATAATTTCTATGAATAACGGTATAAATGGTTGGTGTGTGTTAGGTATATTGGTGTTTTAGAAAAATATTGTATTTGACCATCTGAAAAGTGTGTAAGACAAAAAAAAACTAACTGGAAAATCTTTCATTTTTATTTGTTAGAGGTTGTTAGAGTCCAGCACAACTGGGTTTTAAACATAAAATAACACCTGAACTGGCTTCAAAGGCCCTTTGAAGTGTCGGCACGCTTTGGTTCATCAGTGTGTAAACTGACCAAAAGAAATAAAGTTCAAATCTCAAGCATGCGAGCAACATTTCTAGTTCTGGCATCAGAATAATGTGAAGGAAAGTTTAAAATATAGGCAACAGTTTAAGCAGGACAAAATATCCACAAAGTCACCCGAGGCTTAAATGTGTGTGTATACAGAAAAATTCTGCTGGCTGACAGCTTCTATAAAAACAATAAAAGGGGTGTTTTTTTTACCTGCCAGGTGTCAAAGTTGTATGATGTGGTGCAGAAGTGGGATGCCATGTCCACTTCCATACCTCAGGTGGTGCAGAGGCTCGTTGCTGTGAAGGAGCTCCATGAGCAAGGTAACACGCAGGAACTGAAACTGCTCCGTCCAGTCACACAAAACCATGAAATGCAGAAGGTGCTGAGGTGTTTCAGGGGTGTAGGAGCGAATTAAAACTCTAACATTAGATGATTGTACTTGGTTAGTGTGTGCCAGTAATTGGCCAATATTGTAATAATGTTGCTCTTGGGGCAAATTTCCCCCCGGTAAGGATC